TATCATTATGAGGTGCACAACATTAACCACTTTTGCAGGAGAAAAAAATAATTGAGGACCTTTTTGTTTGCAAAAGTGCAATATGCCCGAGGTCACTAGTATGTAACAGAATGAAAACTAATCCGGGAACAATAGACCCGAGGCATTATATCAAACACCCAATGGAATAAACAAGGTAAGAATTCTGCAAAAAGTAAGTGGAAATGGGCAAAGTGAATCTTACTATCGCTTAGAATGCGATGGCTGTTTGTGGGATTTCATAAGCTATTCTTCGCAGAAGCCTCTCTGATTTGCAGAACTCCTGTTCTAAATTATGGAGACTTATATTAAAAAGCCTGCTCTGTTAGTCGCAAGCATCTGCACTTATCGTTGTCGCTCATCAGCTAAATGTCTGCGCCACTTGCCATTCAACACCTGCCGTGGCGAGAACTAGACGCAGATCGATAATTTCGTATTCGCCGTGCGATTTACGGGCGCTCGCTCATGGTGACGCTAGCAGTTGACGCCAGGTATAGTGAGACTTACACTGTTATTGACCCCTGTGCGCATAGGCAGTCGCGCGTACAGTCGCACACTTAAGAGGTACGTCGATTAAAGTCCAAGTGACCGTCTGCGAGTTATGGTGAAGCTCACATGTCATGCTTACCACTGTATTTGCCCAGGTGAGCCTGCACGAAAGTCCTATTTGCAAGTGCGAAAAAAGATGCCGACGCTGATAGGTAATGTACTTTCCTAAGCCCTCGGGGCCGTTGTCCCGGAGCATCACAAAATTTTGACTTTGTCTGGGCGAGGATAACTGCCGCTGAGGGCTTCTTGAGGTCTGGAGCCGGCCTCGCAATCCCCTTAAACGGCATACCCACTTGCATTCATACTGCCAAAACCATTAAAGGTCATTAAAAAATCATCTGACTAGGTTCACTAAGAGGTTTGCGCGGCTGATTATGTTGGTATTCGGAAAATCCGGTGATTTGACTGTACACTTCATCGTTTTGCAACACTCTGAAACTCCTAAGTTCGACAATGTTAGGCAATTTAAAATGTTTATCTATCCTTGCTTCGAATACATGCTATAGCTTGGATTTTTGAAACAACTCAAGCGAAAGCATGATTTTCCCTGCTAGCAGATGATCCATTACAGCGCAACTCATAAATAATTCTGCACCTTTTCAAAGTACCCATAGCGTTGTTACGTTCCATACTAACATCCGCCTGTGGGGTTTCTCTTGCAAGTACACCTGCTTGGTTAGACACGAAAATATGGATCACCGTCCTCAATGGCTTGCGGCCCTCTGCTGAGTTTCAGGCAGGATCGCCTATTCCGTATCATTAATTTACTACTGACCATAGATTGAACACCATTCCTATCCATCCGGTACATGTCTTGTTTAGGGCTCAGTACGCTTACTTCGCACAATAACATACTTATTTCGTAGTAGAAAGATAGGGCGCAGTTCATTTACATTGTACTCCCCGCACAGATTTCTTAAGCGTCATAAGGTCACTTTGATTTTTTTCGGTTTTATTTTATTTTTTGTTTTTTTGTTTAGCTGCGTTAGTCAATTTAATTTAAATTTGTTTAAGTTTTACTGCTTTGGCGCCGCGCGGTTACTTTTTGACTTAGCTTTCTACGAAATTGATTTAAATGCATTAGAAGCTATTGTGCATTTTTTTAAATAGGAAAAAAAAGTCTACCTCCCTTTGTTTTATTTTAATCTTTAAAATTTGATATGGACTCGATATATCCTACTGTATCTAATTTACATGTACTATTGGGCAGTTCTTGGTTGTAGTCCGCATTTTAATTATCACTCATCGAACATACAGTCATTTGAATAAGAATTCCTATTATTTTCAAATTTTATACGTTCCACGTTTTAAAAATACTTTTTATATCCCTTAATATGACCCAACTAATTACCCCCTAGTACGGCCGGTCCCGTTGTATAGAATACTAGCGTTTTCGCTTGCTGTAGCGAGCGCAAAACGAGACTGGTGCCAACCCCAACCGGCGCACCTCCCCCTGAAGCAAATAACGGTACGCCGATTTATCCTTTTTTATCTACGCCAACAACATATCCACGATATCAGTACTGTTAAATAGTATTTCGGCATCATCAATAGGTTGTACCAAAAATAAAAGATAAACAGATACTTGGCTTGAGCCAGCCCTCCCCACCCCAGTTTAGCCTAGTCGTCTGGACGGAGGCATGCGCTAGCAGTGCTGTAGGTTTCAGAAAGACTTGCATACGTGTAGTTTGAATGGCAGGCAGAAGAATCAGTGCAGGAGAAGCCGCCAGAGCATCCGCGTTGAAGATAGAAGCGTCCGTACTTCATTTCCACTTGCATGGCCAAAGATGTTCGAGTTGAGTGACAGCCTTCACTCCGATGGCTTTCATTGGTCAGAAATTTTTGTAATCCTTTTAGTCTAACTTGATTTCCTAAGAAATAGTCACGCTGAATAATAGCGTTTTGTGCACACACTATTTTATAAACATGCGCGTATTAAGAGATTAAGGTTGGCATAGGGGACTTGGTACAGCATTACATCGAAAACCGTACACCCCCCTGTTTACGCACTTTCGTTTTTGTTTCTTATTTATAGCTCATGTCTCAACCGCGAGTTTTTATGGGCTAATACTCACAATGTGTTATAAGCCTTATACTAATGGTCGTTATACGAACATGTGCTGTGTAACTGAGAAATAATTATGGCAAAGTTTGGTAAATTTGACTCACTTGTGAAGAACTCGGCAGCTTTGATGGGATTCAAACCCACAAAGACACAGAGTAGGTTTTAGTATAGGCGACGCTGTAGTCAAGTGAGTAGGAGGACCCCACAGGGAGCAGTGAATTTAATCACATTTGGGCCTTTCTGCTCCCCCTCCCCCCCCGCCTACATCAACGTATAGAAACCACCAATGCCGACACAGGAAGCCGATCGCCCAAGCAGGATTTCCTACGCAATCAAGCTAAAGCGCAAGTGGGTCAAATTAATTATCCAATCGGCCAAAATATCCCTACTAATTAATTTAACATGAACTCAGTTGGTGGATGCAGCTTACTCTGTCAGAAGTGGTTGACGTCATATGTTGCAGTAGACTCGGCGGGTAACTTAACTCGGGTGTGATTAAATTCACGCCTTCCAACAAGTGGCCTCGTAGATCACTTAGCTAGAGGGTTGGCTGTGTTATAATTATGAGCATTTTCTCTTTTGAATGTAGGAGTTTGAGATGGTCGTAGAGGACTTATTGCACCATTATGTTATAAACTATATGGCCAACGTTTATGAATTGTTATCTTGATTCCCGCTTTATTTTTTTTTCTTTTGCAAGCGGGAATGCATAAAATATGGACACTTCTATGACTTAGGAATCACAGTATGTTCTTAGTCTAAAGTTAAACTTGTTAATAGGAGCGTGTGTTCTCTAACAGAAGACTACTTATCACAAGCTTTAATACTCCCTCAGCACATATACATCGAAATATATTCATCCAGTTTAGTTTTACCAAAAATTGGACGGGAGCACTTAGGTGCCTAGTGCTTACGATGAAACTGAATTTTAACCTACGGATCACACTTTTGCCGTTCTTTTTGACCCCAGCATGACGAGAATGTTATCCGCCTAAGGGGTGCCTTGAAATCATTTTAGTTTAAAGTGTCGCTATTTTCACGGGAAGATCAAATTTGGAGCCAGAAGTGAAAAAAATTATTCGCCTTTTTATATTGAACAACAGTAGTGCTCTCAGCAACCAATGCCACTCTGTTTTTTTTTCCAGAAAAAAAGTAAGGCACTCTCAGGGCTTATATAGATGAAGTGCAAAAACGCCTAGGCCAATCACGATGAAGAGGGAGAGAATGATACCGACAATTGTACCCACAAATCGATCGTGGGCTACTCTTTCGGCAAGGGATTTCCCGAATTTCAACTTGCCTTTGTCGAGCTTCGTGAATGACACTTTAATTGTTCCGGTTGTACTATTGGTCACTTCGCCTTGTGAGGATAAAGGAACTTTGAATGTGGTGGCTTTCGAGTCATCAGGCTTATCCTCAGACAACCGCGTAATAGGGGGCACGGTTGTTAGCAAAGGCAAACCTTCATGAGTACGTCTTGACTCAACCGTTTCTTCACTTCTACCACCCGCGTTTTCCACAGCGTCCTCCATGAAAGGAGACGATAAATGGTTTGCTGGCTGCATTACAGGAGCACCACCTCCTGGATGAGAAGCCAATACTCCGTTTGGAGGTCTTTGCTCACTTGAATACGCGCCATCTACTGGGGCCATAAGTGGTTGGCCGTTATCTGTTTGCATGAGTGGCTGTCTGTTTTGAAAGCCCATCGGAGCTGGTAATGGCATCAGTGGATCAAGATTACCATTTCGAGCAATTTCAGGGGTGCGAACCCGTGCTGAGGGCGGTGCTGGTAATTCGTGGGGAAATTGTGCAATAATAGAAGGAGGTCCGGACTGTTGACCATTAATGAAACCTGAAGGTGGGTGCCCAGCATCCACCGGAACTGCCGATATGTCCCGTAAACGTCTCTCTGAATGGCCAACTTGAGGCTGGACATAAACGGGTACTTGCTGAGGCGGGTGTTGAGGTATAACCCGCGGCGATTGATAGCCGGGCAAAACGGCGGCTGACGACTGGTCAACTGGTACAGCTTGTTGGTGTTGCGGCAAGATGGCCAAAGGTGGGTTTACCAACTCAACTCTTCCCAATGCCTCCGGCGTTGCCCATGGTTGCGGTGCCTGGCTACCAGCGGAAGCTGACACACGGCCTGGCGCTGTACCCAAATTAAATGCATCATAATTTTGCCCGTTCGCAGATGTTGAATTGGCCATTTGGTCTATTATATTTTCCTGAAGATTATATACATTCGACTGACCATGTGTGATTGAGTGTCTCATAGCGTCAGGCCAGGGAACTAACACGTCGTTTGATGAATCAGGTGAGCTGTGTAATGACGGCTGATGAGCAAGCGGTCCTGTGCCAGATCTTGC